ATTTTTTCATGTATTTATTTGCTATTTCTACTTTGTCTGAGAAATGTCTGTTCATTTCAGATGCCCATTTTTGGATTGGGTCTTTGAATTTGGGAGATCCAATTTCACTTGGTATTGCATTGAATCTATATAGCAGTTTTGGAAGTATGGCCATTTTGCCTATGTTGATCCTTCCTAGCCAGGAGCAAGGGATGTCTTTCCATTTTGTGATATCATTGTTAATCTCTCTTTTCAGAGTGCTATAGTTTTCAGAGAAGAGGTCTTTGATTTCTTTTGTTAGGTTGATTCCTAGGTATTTCATTTATTTTCATGCAACTTTGAAAGGAATTGTTTGCCTTATTTCTGTCTCAGTGAGTCTATTGTTCATGCAGAGAAAAGCTACTGACTTTTGTGTGTCAACCTTGTATCCAGCTACTCTACTGAATTTAGTTATTAAGTCTAGAAGACTTTTGGTGGAGTTCTTGGGGTCTTCTATATAGAGCATCATGTCATCTGCAAATAATGACAATTTGAGGTCTTCATTTCCTATCTTTATTCCTTTTATTTCTTTCTCTTGCCTAATTGCCGTGGCTAATGTTTACAAATCTATATTGAACAGGAGCGGTGATAGTGAATATCCTTGTCTTGTTTCTGATTTTAGTCTGAAGGATTTCAGTTTTTGACCATTTGTTATGATTTTGGTTGTTGGTGTTCACAGATGGCTTTTATCAGATGGAGGTAGAGACTGTCTATTCCAATTTTTTGTAGGGTTTTTATCATAAATGAGTGTTGGATTTTGTCAAATGCTTTTCCTGCATCTATTGAGATGATCATATGATTTTTGTCCTTGGCTCTATTGATCTGCATTCTATTTGCCAGTATCTTATTAAGGATTTTTGCATCTACGTTCATTAGTGAGATTGGCCTATAGTTCTTTCAGTTGGGTCTTTCTCTGCTTTGGGGATCACAGTGATGCTTGCTTCCAGGAAAGAATTTGGGAGTATTGCTCCCCTTTCAATTTCATTGCAGAGTTTAAACAGTAGTGGCAGCAGTTCCTCTCTAATGTCTTGTAGAATTCAGCAGTGAAGCCATCAGGACCCGGGCTTTTCTAGTTGGTAAGTTTTTAATTATGTTTTCAATTTCATTGATTGATATTGGGTTGTTCAGAATTTTTAGGTCTTCTTCGTTCAACTTTGGTAATTCACATGTATCTAGAAATCTGTCCATTTCTTCTGTGTTTTCATCTTATTGGCATATAAATTCTCCAAGTAGGTATTGATGATCCTCTGGATTTCTGCTGGGTCTGTTGTAATTTCACCCTTTTCATTCCTAATTGCATGGATTTGGGCCTTTTCTTTCCTTTCTCTGATAAGGTTGGCTAAAGGCTGGTCAATATTGTTTATTCTTTCGAAGAACTAACTCTTGGTTTCATTGATTATTTGTATCGTTCTCTTAGTCTCCATTGCATTGATTTCTCCTCTGATCTTGACAATTTCCTCCCTTGTATGAGCTTTGGGGTTGTCCTGCTCTTCTTTTTCTAGAAGCTTGAGGTTCAGCATGAGGTTGTTTAATTGGGCTAGCTCTGTTTTCCTAATATGAGTATTCACTGCTCTGAATTTCCCTCGTAAGGCTGCTTTCATTGTGTCTCACAGATTCCAATATGTTTTATTGTCATTGTCATTTAATTAAAGGAACTGTCTGATTTCTTCTTTAATTTCCTCTGTGATCCACTGGTTATTCAGAAGTGTGTTGTTCAATTTCAATGTGTTTATGAAATTGATACAATTTCTTTCTCTATTGATCTCCAATTTTATTGCAGAATGGTCTGATAATATAAAAGGGATAACTTCAGTTCCCTTGCACTTATTTAAACATGTTCAGTGAGTGAGTATGTGGTCTATTTTGGAGAATGACCCATGTGCAGCTGAAAAGAATGTGTATTCTGATTTTGTGGGGT